ATGATCTCACAAAGGACATCCCTGGTCCAGAGGACTTCGAACTCAAGGAAGATGTAGAAGCCGAACCTCATCCTGAGACCATCGATGACAGACCTGATTCGGAGGGTAGACCACATAAGATAAGACGTAGATTCTATCGTTCCCCTGAATATTGGCAAAAGAGATCACGAGGCGAGATTCCACCTCTCGGCAGTATGCATGAACAAGAGTTGAATCAGCAGCCATTTGCCGCTGTTGCTCCTGAAGAGATCCCCGAGGATAGACTTGAGCCAGCCGATAAACGTAGAAGGGTTGTTGAAATTGATTCATCTCCAAGTTATGCACCCACCGAACCGCCAGTTCCTCTTGAAGAAGAGGGATCTCAGTCAGGCTTTCAAATGCACAACGAGCTTGATGAGCTCATGCCTGACCCAGGTGCTGTACCTGCACACCTGGAACCAGAGACAGACACTAATCCGCCCGAATCCGATAGACCCGATAACACCGATGAAGTAATGCCTGAAGTAGACTCACGATCGAACGAGATCGAACCATCTGGCATAGATGTTCCCGTTCCAGAAGCTGGTGAAGACGAACTAGCGGTAACAGCCAGATTGCAACAGGCAGAACATGTGTTCGAACTTTCCATTGACGTCCATCCCGAAGACATCACTGAGAATCCTCTGTGTCTCTGGAATCTTTTTGAAGAATGCTTGCAAGCTGCGCCGCAGTCCAAGGCGAAGCAAAGAAGGGTTGAAGTCCAGTTCCGCAAACTCAATCCACACGACAAGAAACTGTTTCTCCAAGCTATGCAAAAGGAATGGCAAAGCTGGATTGACAATAAGGTGACTTCACTTTGCAAGGCTAGAGGGATTCCTACAGAAAGAATAATTAGAGCAAGGTGGGTCTTGGTATGGAAAAAGTCATCCGATCCTGATATCACATCCAAAACTCCAAAAGCACGTCTAGTTTTGGTAGGATGGCAGGACCCGGACCTAGGAAAGGTAGCAACAGACAGTCCAACTTTGCGTAAGGAAACAAAGCACCTTGTTCTATCCATTTGTTCAGCATCCAAGTGGAAGCTATGGGGAGCCGACATAAAAACAGCGTTTTTGTCAGGTGATGAATCTTGCAGAAACATTTACTTTCGACCTCCAGCAGAAATCAAACAATGGATGAACTTGAGTACAGATGACCTGTTTCGTCTTGAGAAGGCTGCCTACGGCCTGGCTGAGGCACCACGTGCTTGGTTTTCCCGCCTGACCAGGGAACTTAAGGAAGCAGGGCTAACCCAGAGCCAGTTGGATCCATGTTTGTTTATGTTGAGGAGTAAGTCCGATAACACTTTGAAAGGCATATGTGGAGTACACGTAGATGACCTACTAGGTGGAGGTTGCAAGGAAATGGACCAAGCCTTGGACCGACTCCGAAAGAAATTGCCGTTCGGTGACTATCGTACTTTCACAATAAGATATACAGGAGTAGAGATTCGACAAAATCCAAATACGATGGAAATTGAAGTAGGACAAGAAAATTACATCGAGAATTTGGAACATGTTGAAACGAAGACTTTGGGAAACGCTTCAACGTCCCTTACAGATCCTTCTATCCTTAGAACTTGCGCCGGTCAGTTAGCCTGGGTGTCGAACTCGACACGTCCGGAACAGGCATTCCTGGCTTCGTATCTTCAAGGGGTTCAGGATGAGGGGAAAGTTGAACACGTCCACTTGTACAACAAAGCCGTGAGGGAAATGAAAACTAGAAAAATCTGTTTGAAATTCCCTAGCCACGTTCCAGTAAAAGATTGGCACATCGTGTGTATTGCTGATGCTGGCTGGTGTACTAGAGCTAACGGTGAAAGTCAAGGTGGATACATCCTGTCTTACGACCAAAGACATCATGAAGAACAAGGAATCCCCTGTATGGATAATAGATTGGAGTTCTAAGAAGTTACGACGAGTAGTTCGTTCCTCAGTAGCAGCAGAAACCATGTCCGGTCAGAATGGACTTGATGCGATTGAGTGGATTCAATCCCTGCTTGCTGAGATCCTAGAAGGCCAATCGCCTCGAACATTTCGAGAACGAGTCCCAGAAAAGACAGCATGCCTCGTTGTTGATAGCAAGGGTTTCTTCGATGCAGTCACAAAATCGTGTAGCTCTCCTACTATTAGCGTAGAGAAGAGACTTCAGATCGACTATGCCATCGCAAAGGAAAGCATGTCCTTGCAGAACATCATGGTCTTTTGGACTAGTAACATTTTCATGTGTGCAGACGTGTTGACTAAACTACGAGCCGACACAGGACCTTTCTATAAACTCGTTGACACTTGGAAATACACCATCCACACCGGAGTAGAGTCAGGTAAGAAAGAAAAAGCCAAGGCTAGAGCTGCAGAAGCAGAGAAACGTCAACTAGATGAGCACTAGGGCCCATGCATGCATGTTGTGAAGTGAATCCAACATTCGTTTGGTGAAACTTGAAAGGAATTTGTTAGTTAGGTTGAGAAACCATCCATTGCCAGCCACCTCGAACCAGTTCGTTGCTGAGGAGTCGTCCTGGTTGTTTTTCTCATTTTTCTTGTGCCGCATCGGTTAAACCGAATTTTGCACAGCCTTTTTGCTCCAAGGAGCGCACGACCGTGAAGTGTCGCCCATTCAGTCCCGCAGGATCATGTCGAAAGCAGCAAAGACCGATGATGAAGAATATCACATCCGGTCACCACTGACGGATCAGGATCTTAGCATGTGTGCCGGCCTTCTCCATCGAGCTGTCCGTTTCGGACAAAGTGCACAGTTGCTCCAGCGTGTGAACGACTGGGTGAAGATTCGTCCAGACCTCCGACCAAATGTTGTGGGAGCTCAGGTCATCGTGGATGCCTCCATGTCCGCCATGACTGATGCTGCGAAGCGACGCATGGATGCCGATGAGACCTCTCAGGCCTCGAATCCGTGGGAGCTCTTGAATGCCAATGAGCCTACCGGTTCAACCATGACACCGGAGCACCTTGCTGTGAGCCCAAAGGGATATGAAGCTGGAAAGGTGAACTTGTTCCCAGTGGCCAATGTGACCGATCCCTTGATTCCCTTGCCTGAAGGAATCAGCACCGTAGAGGAATGGGGACAGACCATCTGTCGTATGGATAAGGTGAAGGCTGAAAGCCTCACGTATGATCAAATGATCCTGACGGCCCGCACGAATTCGAAGAAAGGAGAAGACATGCGTCAGTACCTCCAGTTCATTTTGTCAAAGTATGGTACTGGTGGAAAAGTGCCATCCAAGATTACCAAGGCCGTGGACTTTGCCATGTACCTTGAAAAGGTGAAATGGAAGAAGCCTGATTTTGAAGGTCTTGCTGAGAAGTACGGATTCAGCCGAGAGCTGCGTGACTGAACAGTGTCGCTGACAGCATGGTCCCATCTTCGCACCGCCATGAGGGCGTGTGAATTTGTATGCATTGGAACATGCATATCGTGATATGAGATGGCGGCCCTCTCATGTGACCATTTTGGCACAAGGGCCCTTGAGTCTGGCTCATCCGAGCCCCCGACGGTTGCGCAATGGAAAAGTGAGCGCACCGCTTGCTTTTGATCGTGACGGAGTTCTTTGATCCCCGTTGGTTGAGTTGTGACAGTTGCCTTTACAAGTTGCTGTTGATCCTCCGCTCACCATTTTACAAATATACACACCATATATATATATATACACACCTACATCACCAAACAACCACTACGTGTCACAACTGGGGGCCCTGTACCCCCCATGTCCCCCATCCCCCTTCCGCCCCGCCCCTTCCGCCACCTCCCAAGCCGCCACGGTCTCTTCGGACCTGGCCAGGTCCAGAGGCAGCTGGAAGAAAAGCATCTCGAGAAGGAATTGAATGGGATTCATGATTATGATTGTGTACACTGACACTACTTTCAGAGCGCAGCCAAGCGCATGGCGCTCGCACTGGCTTTTGAAAGGATGGCTCCCGGGAGCCCTGTACATCAAATACATGGGGTAACAGAAGATGGCGCAAGTCGCTAGGTGACTAGGTGTGTGCGCTCGAAGGTGCAGATGAAAAGGATGTGTGAAGCCCTTTCAGTGAGGTGCCGTGAGGTGGTGTGCTTTCTCCTTTTTGCTATCATTTTACTTTACTCAAAACTTCCCCCAGTCCTTTGTAATTACTTTCCCTTCGCCTTTCATTGTCTCTTTTTCCTTTCTCCAAAGTCTTAAGTCTATGTTGCCAGCGAGAGAAAGATCGTTCCACCCAACAAAAGCCATCCATCATCCACACCCTGGGTTTTTCCCTCCGTGGGAGTCCGCTGGCAGTCCGTGTCCAACGATACATCCCTAGACATCCGGCGAGTTCCATGTCCTACCACTGGGCTCCCGAGGACATCCCGGTCGGATCGGAGCGACATCCGGTCGAACCATCCCAATGATATCCCCATGATCTTCCAGAGTCTTGGTTGGTGTTTTCTTCTCACTGGTGGATCAGCCTCTCCACACCATCCCACCTGGCAGCAACTCGTGGCCGCTGGTGGATCAGCAAAGCCGCCAGCGCGCCAAGGCCCAGCAGGGTGGCCAGCGCCAGCTGGGCCCGAAAAGTGCAGCCCATTGCTGCAGACGCGAGTCGACCGGGACCGTCCCCAGTCGCTTGAGCCAGGGGGTGCTAGTGAAATGAGTGAAATCCCATCAAGGCGCATGGTGGCACAAGGATTCGAAGCTGAGTTTTTGATGGTTTTTTCAGGTCGCTTCACCTCCCAAGTTCCAAGCTCTTCTTGAATGGTTCAGCTTCAGGGGCGGTAAGCTTTACATCATTGAGCCCTCAAAATCGGATCCAAACCCCATGGCACACACATCCACACATTTGTGCATGGCATTTTTTTGGTGGTTTCCCACAACCCACCATCCAAACTATAAACCTCTCCACTGCATATATATAGTACAAAAGTAGATAGTAAGGGGTCTTGCACACCCAACTTCTTCCATCCCAAACAACTCCGACGGCCACGTTTTCGTGCTTTCGCTCCGTGGCCTCATTCTCCCGCGCCAGCTCCACCAAGTCTTCCACCGTGTCATCTAAGCCGCCCTCCGCCGTGGAGACTTCCAGGTTCGGCGCCACGATGAGGCCCTCGGTTCCGTCGGTGACGTTCTCCAAAGGTCGGTGGAAGTGGAGATTTCGGGTGACCGGAGCGGGGTGTGTGTGTGTGTGTGTCGTTTTTATATAATGGGTTTCTGTTCATGATGATGCATGTCATGCATGTCATGCATGTCATGCTGTAGAACTCAGGGTACAGATGTGCGAGGATGTTCGGGATCTATAAAGGCTGCGGGCTTCGAGGGTTGAGGCTGCACCCAGCGTTGATAGGGGAGCCTTCCTTGGTAGACGGAAGAATGAATAAAAAAACATCTAAAAATCTAAAAAGGCTGGTCATGGTCCATACATTTGGGTGTGTATTAAAATAGGAAGATGGCAGAAGGGAAATGAACCAAAAACCATTGGGGCCAGGGGGTCTTCCTATGTGAGCTACACGCCCATTTGAGACCAACCATCGCTCCAATCAATCCAGGCCAATGTTCCCCGCCTTGCACTTGTTCCGATTGATGGCGCGCTTCGCTTCGCGCAAGCCCACACAGTAGCCTTAGGGGTATGGAGAGGCTGGCCACCTACAAAACGAGCAAAAGAAGCAAATGTTTGCTTTAAAAACCATGGCCAGCTTCTTCAAAGTGACCTGGTTGCAGAGTCCCAGGTGAGCTCAAACTGGGATATCAAAAGGTCACTTTAAAGAAGGGGAGAAACAATTGGCTTTCAGCCTTTGGTGGTGAAGTATGTCTTTGAAAGGGATCTGGAATCTTCGACCACCCAAAAGCACCCCCACAACCGAACTCCGCCAAAAGCCTCACACGTCAGACCCCAGACCATCCCAGACCCCAGTGCCGCGACACGCCCCAGCACGACCGACTGCCACGCGGCGTTTGAGCTTGGCGTACTTCACGGGGTTCTCCTTGGCACGTTCCTGGAATCGCACCAGCTCAGAGAGAACCTGAGGGACTGCACCAGCTCATTGACAACCAGTGACTGCGCCGTTTTTGTGCACCTGGTTCTCCTGGTTCTCCCTAGAAAAGGTGGGTGTGTTGTGCACCGGTGTGATACGGCGTAGAGGAGGCCAAGCAACGTCATAGACATATAAAAGCCATGTGGCAAAATGCTTGCAAAATGCTTGTTTTCTCCCTGCTGCAACATGAACATGGCATATGTATGCATATGTTACAGATGCTTCTCTGCCTCCACAGAGACGTGGCTGGATTTGAGAATTGCTTGAAAACATAACCAGACATAACAGCCTCTCAAATCTCACAAAACAGTTGTGTGGAAGTCCTAGCACACAATCCGACGGTGATTCAAGACTCATCACCCACCTGAAATCGGGATTCGCCCCAATGATTTCGGGTCTTCGAAGGAAGAGACATCCATAGATCACAGATATGTAGATCGTCAGATCTTTTCGACACCAGGCTGCATGTTTGACCTTCTCGTCCAGCTCATCACTGAGCTCCTGGTGTACCTGAAGCACATGAGCCAATCTTCCCAGAGATCACAACATGAAATGTCGGAGATCTTGCAAAAGAAAAATTGTCTTCCAGAGGTCAAAAAGATCTGTCTCTAGTCTTCAGTTTCATGTTCAGCTTCTATATTAGTCTCGGATCAAACAAGTCTGCCCTGCCATCAACCACTTAACAAGCATCACAAACATCTCGCTCCGAATTCCACGGAGTGGGTTTCTCGGGCCTGGTGCAAACCATACCGAGTGGAATGCACCCATGGCTGCACTGGCCATACAGCCTATGAGTCCGATAAATGTCATCGAAAACTGGAGATTGCCTCAGGATTACCTCTAAAAGAAGGAGCCCCAGGCCGCCATTGTTTTTGGATTAGGTATAACATCTGCACCCTCCCAGAGACTCGCCACCAAGTGACGTAGTGCCGCACTTCCAAGTCCGTCTTCGGCTTCGCGGCGGCTGAAGCTCCGCCACGGCCCTGCACCTCCTTCAGTCGTTCCAGGGCCTCGCTGATCGACAGCGCCTCGAGCTCCGCGTCCGCGACGTCCGCGACGTCCTCGCTGAGCTCCGCGACGTCCTCGTTCGGAGGTTCGGCCGAGCACTCGGCCTGGGCGGTTTCGGAGGTTCGGCGAAGGCGGGGACCGAGAGGGACCGAGGGGTTGTCATAGTGCTGCTTCATTGCGCGAACGAAGGGATGACTCCCGGACTGTGTTTCTTTCCTGAGTTGTTTCTTCCAGTGTTCCCCAGGTCTACAAAGGAGTAATTTCCCTAACTCTGGACGCAGCTCCCATCTGAACTGATCGAAACGTGCGCAGAATCAGGCCTCCTCCTCCTCCTGCATCTCTTCCATCTCATCTTTCTCAACTTCCTCGACTCCCATCTGACACCAGCTGGGCAGGAACGGCTCCGGCTCACTCGGCGTGGTCACCAGCCCCACCGGCCGCGGCGCCGCACGCTGTGGACCCGCGGCGGCCGTCGCCACACCCGTGGGGCGCTCCGGATCCCGGTACTCGCGATCCTCGAGGATGGTCTTCTTCAACTTGCCTGGCTTCGAGTCGGACAGTTTCCCCGCCCCCAACGAAGCTTGCCGGCAAGCGCAGGCGGCTAGCGCCGCGCAGCGAGCTGCGAGCTGCGGAAAAGACGGGTGCTTGCGGAATCGGGGAGGCGAGGTTGGAGAAGAAAGGATGCGGGAGATGTGGGCGCAGTCAAAAGTGCGGTTCCCTGAAATTGGTGTCTTCTTTGGGTCACAAGCCCTGGACAGCAACAGAATGTGCAGAAGAGAAACCATGTTCAAACGAAGACCACGTATCAGCAACTTCCAACAGGTCACTCATGCACTACCCTACACTACTTGCGGATCTCCATTCAACGCCTTGTGGTCCATGTATCTATGTTTTTTCTTGCTTTGGCTTGTTCCCACAACCACTGGACCAACAACTTGAGGATCAAAGGATTCACCAAAAGCAAGTCCAAAGGCCTGGGCCACTGAGGCGCCGCCGGCCAAACACGCTAAAGACCGATCAAACCCCTCTAGGCCAAGGGGCTCATACGCTTCTTCTTGGACACCACACGTTGCTTCCCGATGCGCAGGTTGGTCAAGTCCATCTCGGACTGCTCCAGGATGCTTTTGCTGAAGCCCACTTTGATGTCCCGCACGCTCGACTCTGCCATGGCTATGTACACAGGAGGCCAACGCAGGTGTTGAAGCCGCCGCGAGCACGGAACAGGTTCAGCTGGTTCAGCTATGGGGTGAAAGTGGGTGGAGTGGCTGAAGCCCACGTAGCGGGTCTTGTGGGGCTTTTCCCCAGAACCCAAACGCTTCGCTAAATCACCACTTGGTGCAGGAAAAACTTGAGGCTCTCAAGCATGCTTGTAGACGGTACGAAGTGGGTTGCTGCCTGCTGCCTTGGTCTACCGAGAGTCTACAGGTTGGCTTCAATTGAACCATGGCAAGGCGTTTGTTGGGCAAATACCTGGTGGTATGTTGCAATGGGAAAAAATATGTGTCTCAATACTGTGTGGATCTTTCTGGCATACTCTCGCAAAAGCTTTGGTCTGGTACGTGTGTGGTCTGAATGTCTGCAAATGATGCCCAGAGTGATCAGAATGATCATGGTCATGGTCATGGCGCTGGTGAAAATGATGACGACCATGGCGCTGTCGCCGAGTTTGACGAGGCGACGAGGCTCCTCGGCACCACCCTGATGTTGAGGCTGGCCGTATAGCCCAGTGGAGCATGAGGGTGATCAAAAACAAGGAGCTCGCGTTGCTTGTTTCACACCACCCCCCTTTTCAGACATCAGCAAGAGATGTTCGGCATGTCATCAGATGCTTTTTTCATCCCTTTTTTGTCCGCACTCTTTGGGGCAGAAGAGTGGACCGCTCGCTTCAGCGACCAGGTCGGCATCGAAGAAAGCCCCCAGACCTCAGAGCTGGCACTAGTGCCATCTGCGGGGTGCATCCATCGAAACACTCCCTAAGGGGTCAATCCCTGCATGGTGTAGCAAGTGTTCTCATCAGAGTCTGGTGGACCCTTGTAATCCAGGATGCTCTCCTAATCAGTCCTTTTGCGTGCAGGAGTTTGAGAAAACACACCTTTCCCCAGGGTGCTCAAGAAAAACCTCATGACTCAAGAAAAAAACTCATCGACCCGAAACCTCACTTTCAGTTTTGCAAACAACTTCTGCCTTGTTCGTCGAGTCCAGGATTTGGGTCACTCAGAACTCAGACAGAACGACCCCCTCATCTGATCTACCTCGACTCCTTTAGCATCGTTCCAGAACGTGAGGTGAAGGACCAGGTTTCCACCGAGTCTTTTGATTCTCCAGGGAACCACGGATCGAAGAAGGAAGAACGTCAAACAGATTCCAACCACCGCCTGTCAGAGACTGGGAGACTAACTCCCAAACCCCCACCTCGCCACCTCGCACCAGTCGCAGGTCCACTCCCCCCTCCGGACCTGTCGCCGGGTTCTGCTGAGCTGGGCCACCGCGAGTGCTGGGCCACCGCCATGCCCTCTCCACATGGAACCTCGTCAGGTCGACAGGTCGTCCGGTCCGGTCCGGGGTGGAGACGTCACGTGACGAGGGCGGCACAGGCCTTGGGGTGAAGGCTTTCACCGCCAAGTCGGTGCCTCTCAAGCGAAAACGAAATGCTGGTTCCATCTGGGGAACCCCAGAAATTTTCCTCTGCTATATGATCTATAAACAATTCCCAAGGTTTGACCCATACTCAACCCACTTCCAAAGAAAAGCACACCGCTGCCTCGCGCTGTGTGCTGTCCTCAAAGCAACTCTCAGCTGGTCAGCGCCTGGAGTCGAACCCGAAGAAACAAGTGATGCTCCATTCAGAATTCACATCACAGACCATCACAGAAAACAGACCCTAATTCACATCAGAAGGAATCAAACACACATCACAGAATTCAGAATGCAGTCCCTAAGGGTCCAGGACCCTCCGAATCGCTCGGACGACCTTTGGTTCGTTCCAGGCAACGACCATTCTCAGGAAGCACGTACTCACCTCCAAACCCATCCGAAAAGGAGGTACCTGGACCTGGACCCTAATTATGGGGAAGTTTATTTCTATATATGGGCAACGATAGATCCACGAATCGGAAGCTGCTCCAACCAGGCCAACAAAAAATAGGCCCTCCCAAGACCACCCAGCGCCGTCTCCTTCACCGACTCCTCCCTGGTCTCCCTTGTCTTCTTTTCCTCGTCGCCGTCGCCCTTCGGGGGCGCCGCACCCACTCCGGCAGGAGCCCCGGCCAACAGGTCCAGAGCTCGAGGACGCTCCGCGGAGCGTCGAGGAGCCGCTCTAGAAAGGCTCCGTAGAAAGCCCGAGGCTCCGCCGCTCGCCGCCAGCGGTTTCCGTTGGGGAGAAAGACCGCGCTGGTCTTCTTTTGTGTGGCGGGAACGGATGGATCTAAACATATCACTCCCCTTCAAAGTTGGGCTGTTTCTTGTGTCGGAGGGGTGGTGCTGTCAAGCTCCATCCGATCCACGGCGACCTCCGGTCCGGGCCTCCGGTCCGGGCCTCCTCCCTTTCCGCTGTGGGCTCGGAGGCCAGGTACACCAGGTGTTGCCACTGCCCCGTTCGTGGACTAAGTAGCCTTTTCACGTTCTGGGGTTGCACAGAAACCGCCAACGATGGGAAGATGTTGGAAGCCCCCGTGAGGCAGTGAGGCAGTCAAAGCTAAGGGTCCACAAGACCTCCGAGTTCCTGTGAAAAAGCGTACTGCAACAATAAACTTTAGATGACCGGTCTGGCGTCCCCTGCTAAACCTGCGAAGATACGAAGATACTGTCCGGACATCTCGCTGTTCTCATCTGACGGATCAAAATAAACTGGTCAGTGTCTCTACGTCCACTCTCTGCTAAGCTACCGACCCCGTTCTACTAGTTCGACATCCAAAAACAAAATGCCTTAAAACCTAGTGCATTAAAGAACTCCTGTTGACAACATGTCCATATTTCCCTACAGGCTCTGTCTTTCATCTCCCAACCATCTGGCACAGGAAATGTTGCCCAACTTTACACCTGAACTGGTCATCGACCTTACAATCTCCCTTCCATGCTGCCCTCAGCACTGGTCGTGACCTCACCAAGGAACAACACTCTCCTCTATCCCGTCAGCGGCAACACCCATGCCGCGCGCAGTCGGAGCTGTCGGCGCAGCAGATCGGCGCCTCACTGGCCAGGCACTCGCGGCGGCCTCGCGCCACACCGCACGGGCGAGGTGGGGCGGTTCTCTTCGCGCGGTCGCGGTCTTCGGTCCAGGTCTGCGGTCCAGGTAAACAGGCACCTTTTCGAAGACTTGAAGCAAGAAACCCAAAAGCTCGCACTATCTGGGGAACAACTGACAGTTTGTGCCCTGACTTTGTCATACGATGTTACCGGAGCCACCAACATGCATTCAGGACAATCAAGTTCAATCAACTTGCTGCACCACCTGTTGATGAAAAGACTTTTTCGCCACCTGGAACCATCAAAATCAAAACACTCTGAGTTCTGGTTGTCCATATCAGGTGGGTGTTCCGAATTCTTCAAGCATCTTCCATCGAGCCGGCGCTTTCACGTCCCCAACATAGCCAAGCTACGCTCTGGGTGGTTCACGCAGGGCGTTCGGCATGAGGCCGTGGAGAGGTCCTCTGCCACATAGTAACTAGGGCAGTGGTACCATGCATCCTCAGTGGCTTTCGCGCGTCACTGAAACGTTGACCTCAAAAAGTAAAGGACCGATGGATGTTGAGGAAGGAACTGCTTGGGTATGGTCAAACCCATCATCTCTTCAGAGTGTTCAATACTACATCATCAGCGGGCGGTGTGGCAGATACAGTAGATCTCTATAGATCTCTCAATGAATTGATCCCACTACCGAATTGGGCATTGATTTTCCTGTAGTTTTTCCCTCAATGTCTGCGAGTTCCTTCCGCGGCCTTCCACCTGCCCGGCACGGGCGGAAGGCCCCACGCCCACTCGCCAAGAAGCGCCAAGCCGTTCAACGTTCTGGCAGTTGTTGCCATCCACACGTTGGGCACCTCGGATGAAACGTGGGGGGGAAAAACCAGGCACCCGACAGGTGACACAAAGGGATAAAGACCAAGGGCACCACGCGGGTGATCTAGTGGCATGTGCACACCCAACTGCTAACTGATTCGTACATATCATTCCTCCTGCCTCTGAAGCATTGGATCTTGTTGGCTAGTGGAGTTCATGACCCGTGGCCTCGTCGACGCGGCGCTTCACCGGTCTCTAACATGTCGCGGTACACGTCGGTGGTGACCCGTTGACATGTGGTCAGATCCAGCCTCCAAGTTTTGTTGAGGAACTGTTCGCCAAAAAGACCAGCGCTGTTGAGGAACATGGCCTGTCCACCTATGAATCTGTTCTTATCATATAAGCCCGTGAAATCAAAGTTAGCCAAGTATAGTCAAAAAGTCAATGCCCCACCTTAGGACCTTGAGGGTCTATATGCTACCCCCCCAAGTGTCTACCAAGACTTTGGGGGGGGGTACCATATATATATAATATATGACCTCGGAGCCTCGAAGCATACTCCTCCTCGTCCTCGCCGTACGTCCTGTAGCGCCCTGTTTCGACTCGACGACTCAGCCCCCGCCGAACGGTCGGACTCCTTCCTCCACCGGACGCCCGATGGACAGTCCCACGCTGACCCTGCTCATGCGTGTGCGTTTCCGTTGGAGGTCGCGGATGGAGACATGGCGATGGAGACATGGCACACTCTCCGCCCTGTTGGGCTTCAGTTCGGTGCCCCGTACCCATCTGACTCTTCGGCTTCAATGTGAGGCTGGTGGGTGAATGCAGAACCCAAGTGCAGTCCCACAGTCCCACCGTTGTTAACACCGTAGCTGTGACCTCATCAATTCCGGTCACACTTCAGCGTCGACAGGTACTTCTGGCCCAAGGCACCTTCTCGCCATGGGTCTGCAACATCTTTCCTGGAGCAGTGGCTGTTCCAGGCTTTTTCCGCGGACCCAAAGGGCTCAGCATGTAGAGTAAACGCTTCTGGTTAAGCCCCTAACGGCCCTAACGGTTGGTAAATCGATCCCTTCATGCCTTGGAAGATCTTGGAGGGGGGAATCACCTGTTCAGCATCTTCATCGTTGGGTCCCGAAACCAACGTCCTTCCTCACCCAAGTCATTCCC